GAAAGGAGTCTTGAAGGCTGACATTTTGCTTGTCAGAAGGTCGCAAAAGTCATAAATATGAGTCAGTTGCCAAGTGTCCAAATTTTGATCACATGACCATGGATGCTGCAACAGTTTTAAGTGTGAAAAAAAAAAGTCATAAATCACTTTTTTCAGTGCTGCTGTAACTTCTAACAGTCATTAAACAAATACAGTAGTTGTTTAATCCATGACTACCTATATTTAGCCAGAGTCTTGACTTACACTGCTACTCCAGAGCCCTGCAAAAACTGAACACCTCTCAGGTCACCCATAGCAATACCTAACCATTACATCCTCTGCCAGATTCCACTTTTTTATTTTTAACCAGTTCTTTTTACCTGCAGAAATTCAAATGGTTCCTCTCGCTCTACTGTTCTAGTTTACTCTTTTCCTATTTGCCCTCTTCTGGGCACCTTGACATGCTGCTGGGCACCAGACATCATCAGTGTTATATAACAAGAACGGAGGAGGCAAATGTGTGTGGGTTTTTTTTTTTTGCCTATTTTGCTGGCCTAAATATGGGAAAGGAAGCAGAAGCTTGGCTGGAGGGATAAGAGCAGGCCACACTTATTCCTCACTCCCAAAATGGGTAAAAACTGCATCACTGTTCAGAAATTTCAGCAGCTTGGTTTCAGCCAAATTTGGGAATGGGAATAGATGGAAGGGCATCTTCCCTCCCGAAGGCCTCGTAGCATTATTTTGGAGGGGAAAAATATACCATTTAACTTCATCTATTTTCTCATCAATTTTAGCAGAACATTATCTTGGCATGGCAGATGGGCGGTCAGGTGTGGCCTGTGGCCCAGGGATGGCCTCTGTTCCTTGCTAGGTAAACAAGCTTGAGGAAAAGGATTCAGCATATTTTATTTTATCCACTCTGAAAATATTCTATTAATATTTTTTACAGAAAGAGGTGGCTCTCAAAGAGAGCAAAGGAAACCCATGTGACTTCAGCACAGATATCATGAAGTGAAAAGCTATAACAGCAGACAAACATTTCAGTTTAATAGCCTGCGCTTCTCTCCTAAAGTGTTGCCAGAAACAAATCCAATGCCTCTTTTCCAGTTACTAAATCAATTCTGGACTAAAGTCACAGCCATGACAGCTACTATTCTAAATCCACGTCAAGGTTTAGCAGTGTGTTAAACCTTTACAATGCAATATCTGCATCCAAGTCAAGAGCCTACCTCGTGTGTTGCAGGCAGAGTAAGACGGATTCAAGAGACGAGGAAGGAAAGAAGGCTGCAGAGGAAGCACTGGGCAGGAGACAAGGCTTTCCACTAATTCACCGCCTTCCTTACTAGAATAGATTGCAGTTCTTCAGCCTTGCTTCTACTAACCTCAAGCTAGTGAGAGCACCAAACAAAGGACGATTACAACAGCCACCCTGGTAATGAAGCAAATGTTCACTTCTGTTTCCAATGTCTCTGTCAGCATCAAGAATCTTGGCTCCCACAGAAGTATGTACTAAGAAATGTAAGCTGCCCCACTCTAAACCAGTTTTATGTCGCAGATAAGAGGGCCAACACACGTTAAAGGAAAGGACGTAAGCGTATACTAAAGCATGTGACTCAAGAGAGTACCGAAATAGTAAAAAAGCTGGTATTTAAAGGAAGCAGTAACGATCAGGGCCAAATAGTACTTGCTAGAGGAAACACTGCACCACAGGCTTTTCTTACAAGCAGCCTGAATTTGTAAAGAAAGAGATGGGGTGGTGAGATCTCACTGCCACTTTGCAGCTGGCGTTACTGTGGCTCCAGTGCTTTCTGGGCCGAGTATTTAGTCATAGTCTTGACTCACATTGCTGCTCTGAAGCACCAGAGAAACTAAACACCTCTTAGGTCACCCGGAGCTATATCTGATCCTACACCCTCTGCCAGATTCCTTTTTCCAGCAGAGGTTCTTTATATACGGAGACCAAAAGGGTTCCTCTTGGTATTTTCTGACTTTACGTATTTTCCTACTTTGCTATTCTATTCAATATGTAATACTCAGGACTCCACCCTTCACGGTTCTCAAAAATGCTGAAATGAATTAATCCACCATCTTTAGAACAAGCATGATCATTTATCACTGACATTTAGACAATCAAGCCCGAAATCAGCTAGAATAACTAACTACCTATTACTTCATTGGCTAGTGGATAACAACTCATGTTTTATTGCAGCTCGATAGTTGTCTGGGCCCTTAAATTCTTATTCCATGATTTAGATATCATGACAACCGACAGATTTTGTTTCTTGTAATTTTCACACCCTTATCACAATCTGCACAATCACTCTGTGTGTGTACTGTGGTTTATTTTGCCATCTCCACATAGTGGTGATTCACAAGGAACAGATTTGTATGGCAATCTTGTTGCACACAACATATGGTCAAAAGCAAAGCCCAACTTCAGACACATTTTCCCACACAACAGAGCAACCAGCAATCTGAGCCCAACAAGAGGAAAATGACAGCAGAACCAACAGCAACAGAAATTCATGTGATTTTCCTTACAGATGTGCAGTCGCGAGATCTGACCCATGGTTTTCCTGGAAGAGATAAAAAGTGATCTTCTCCTTCCATCTTTTATGGTATACTTGTAATCAGGAATCAACTTGGATGCTGTTGTCATTTTAGACCGATCACTCCTTTATATTTTCTGCCTTATAACTGCTCCTAAGCTCTGGATAGCTTTGAGATGTCATGTATTACAGCTGCCTTATTACAAAAACAATAAGGCAGTATCTCCTATCATCACCAAAAAACAACTCTCCATGATTCCTGGCACCACTAATATTTGTATTGATTTTGCCAGAACACAACTGCCCCCATTTAATAATGAATGCTACCACCAATTTGTAGAAGCTCAGACTTTGTTATCTGACTGTTTCATCTTACAATATGTAAATAATAATTCTCCATTCTTCACAGACACAGATCCTTTAGTCCAATGGTTTTATTTTTGCTATTAATTTCATCAATCAATCAATCCACACCTCATTTCTCTTACACCATAACCGATGAGCAAATAAATCAATTTTTCCTTTGAAATTATTCTCCCAAAGCTGCATAAGTTTGTCAGGAACTTGAATAAAATTATGTAGTCTTTTTAATGAAGTTTGGTGCACTATTTTTTGTAACTCATTATTCTTTCTCCCACCTGATACACCTCTCTGACTAGGGTATGTCAGAGAAACCAAAACTGCAGCACAGTATTAGCTGCCCTAATTATTACTTTATAGTTCTTCCAAAATGCACTGAAAAACCAAAGACTGGACACATGCGACACTTACAAGTGACACTGGGAAATTCTAATTTCCACTGAGACATTAAGGTAATTGTTAGGACAACTGACATCTTTCTTATACAATAGGATTGCCATGAAAATAAATCAGGGATTGCAGGAATAAAGACATAAATGTGGTAAATAAAAATAATCATAATCTATATTTTGCAGTAGGAAAGCAAGGGAAAAGTTTTCTCTACCAACGCTGTACCTGTTTAGGTCTTTGATTTTCCACCATCTACTACAGTGGTTGAAAAAGCCTTTGTGGATCCTTACTCTCCCCATGTTGAAAGAGTAGACACCTCTTCCTCAAACTCATGGCAAAAATACGTTATAAACAAGGAATTTCCTGGTTGGGAGCTCTTAAGTCAGAGCAAAGAAAAGTGACTGTTGTTGCCTAACAGGCTGAGGCTGTTACTGTCGAAGTTGCTAAAAAGGAGGCGGGAGGAAATTAAGAAGACGCTGAACTGAAGATACAATTATGTCATGGAAGAATTACAAGAAGAAACAATAACAATATTGCAACGAAGACAACTCTTTAATTCAAGTACTGCATGCCATCAGTGAGATGCATTGCAACCTGAAAACAGGCAAAATAATGGGAAAATGAGTAAAGAAATATCACATTGATTAGGATTAAATCAATACCCTGGCTTCAAGGGAAAATAACATAATACATACTGGTTAATTACGCAGAATAAGTAAATTATTTGCTATAGAAGGCACTGAATAAATAAACGTTTGTACTTGAATTGGATTATTACACATTTCATGCCGCTGCAAGCTACTCAAAACAGTATAAAAGCATGGTGGCATGCTATGATGGGCTTCTTCAAGTATGAACAGAGGTCTTGGAGGAGTAGATAAACATCAAGGAATGCATCATTTTATGCATCATGTGAGTACCATTTCACACATGTATTCAAGTAATGTGGAGTTAATGTTGTGTGTTAGTAATGTGTAAGTCCATTGAAAGAATAACATCCCTGAAGAGAAAACATGACTTTATTATTGATTCTTTTTGTTCTTTATAAATTCCACAACAGATTTTTCACATGTCAAATTCCCAGACCAGAATAATGCATCGCTATAATAAATAATAGTCACAAAATCAAGCCCCAAATTGTAACACTAAAAACAAAAACATTATTACTTCTAATACCATCAGCTTCAGGACAAGGGTCCTAGACAGTTCCTCTAACAATCCCCTTCTCTTTCTGATTCAAACATTCTTCTAGGCTTCAAAATGTGAAATGAAATACACCTGAATTGGAGAAGCCTGATGTAATCTTTTGGGCCAATTTCAATGCAGCTCTAAGCAAAGTTATGTAGAACTAAGCCCCTGTGAGTTTAAAAAGAACCAGTCCAAATACAGAGTCATAATGCATTCTATACTTCTGAAAGTATAACACCAACTAATTCCTTAATAGTTTGAGTGAGCTATTAAATAGGTAGTTAATTTGATGCTAACTATTAAGCATTGGTTCAGGATGTTTCAGACTTTAGTATCTAGTAAGAAATGAATCCATTCTAGCTATGAGCTTGGAGGCAGCAGCATACTCCAAAATCAAAGCCAAAAGAAACACCGATTCCAAGAAGATCAATGATAACATTTGCCACACTGTATCAATTAAGAGTCAATTAAGAAGCAATTCTCCAACATTATTCTGTATAGGAATTTGATTAAAACCAATGCTTGGATGCTCACCTCTTGCTGACAGCTTCTTGGTATTGATGATCTTTGCAGCAAATTCTTGAGATGAGGTTTTTTTCACGCATCTCCGTACCACTGAGAAAGCACCCCTAGAAGAAATATGGAAAGACTGATCCCGTGAAACTGAATCAAGAACAAAGGAGTAAATCTGTCAAGGTATTTAATTAAAGAACCCATATGCTCAATTGGTAATAGAACTAAAAACTGAAAAATTATTAGAAAAAGAGAAGAAGCTTCTAAGAAATCAGATGGTTTGGAAAACAGCCAGCATGGTTTTTTTTTTTTTTTTGGTTTTTTTTAAAGTGACAAGTTTTGAGGTTTGTTAACTTAATTTACTCTTGGATTCCAGCCTGACCTCCTACTATCTCTTTGGACACAGAAACCAGGATTGCAACTGAAATGTAGTTTGTGGCTCAATAGATTATAGGAACTAAAATAATGTGGTTATTTTATGGTTCAGTGTGTTCTGTGACTATTGCTAATTTGATTAACCATGAACACAGCCCCAAATGAGCTCACTATAATCCATTACTCAGTTTCTTCAACAGAGGCCCTCACAAACACATTGGAAGAGCTCAGCACTAAGCCTTCCAAAGCAGCAGAGCAAATGGATGGGGAAATCTCAAATGGTCACTCCTCTTCCAACTTTTCTAGCGCCCAACTGCAGAGGTGAAATACTGTTACTCTAATGGGAAGAGCTTCGATATGTATTTCATAGTGGCCTTTTATAACACGGTCAATCCAAATTTAGCAAGGGAAGCCCCAGCCCTAAGACAGACAAGCACAAGCCACCTCAAAGCAGCCTCCTCAAAAGTCGTAATAGTGTGGGCAAAGTAGGCTGGAAGCCTCCATTTCTCTGAGAGGAAAAACGGGATCCCCATCTTGTCTGGTGCTCAGAAAGCAAGAGGCAGCACCCTGAAATAGGGGCCAGCCCAAAAAGCAAGGAAAATGTCACCCGCCACCCCCTTCCCCTGGGGGGGGAGGTTGGTTTGCAGTTTGGCGTGGATGGCAGAAGATAGCATCTGGGGCTAGGGGGTGAGTGGAGAGAAGAGAGACCCTCAGACACTATATGGGAAAGGTAGGCTATGTTCGAATTACGATTTGCAGGCAAGAATTCAGTTTTTTAAGTCAGCAGTGGACTTGCCTATTTGCAAGGCAAAGGATTCCAAAGTAATTTGCTTGGGAGCCATGGGGAGTGAAGTCCATCTTTCTAAGGCAGGGCTCTCCAACCTGGGCAACTTGAAGCCTGGCGGACTTCAACTCAGCTGGCTGGGGAATTCTGGGAGTTGAAGTCCGCCAGGCTTCAAGCTGCCAAGGTTGGAGACCCCTGATCTAAGGGATCCTTTCTAGATCGGGACCCAGCTGTTCCCGCCTTGCCCTGATAAAGACGTTTTCCACCCGCTTCCATTCCTGCACAGAAGTTAAAGCAGACCACGCCAAGGTCCAAGCGCAGAGACCGGGGCAAGAAGGAGATGCCCCCGGGGTATCCCTAATCCCCTCCCTTCCCAGACGCTGCTCCTTCACCCAGAGTGGGCATCGAGGAGAAAAAGACAGACGGGAAGAGGCAGAAGCGGTGCAGGGCGAGGGGAGGCACACAGGGAGCCGATCTTGAGGTAGGAGAAACGTAGCAACGGTGCTTGCCGTAATGCAGAAGGGAGCCCTGGGGCGGGGGGGGGGGTGGCAGTCTCGAAGTTGGAGCCGAAGCGAGACAGGTGAGGCTGGCCTTCCCAGCGGGAGCGCCGAGATTGGCTTCCTCGGCCCCCAGGTCCCCGGAGCGGGCGCCGGTGCCGCAGCTCCCTGGCCCGGGTTCCGCGGGGACGGGGGCCCTCCAGCTGCCTCGGCGCTGCCCTTTTCCGCCCCCGTCGGCCGCAGAAGTTGCAGCTCGCTTGAGCAACTCCGGAGGGGGCGGGCGGGCAGCGGCGGCCGAGGAGGAGAGTTGCGGCAAGACCGCAGCGTCCAGGGGCTGAGCGGGCGGCGCTGCCAAGCCCGGGGAAGCTAACCGATCCGGGAGGCCGAGGCGAAGGCGACCCGCGACGGCTCCAGGGCCCCCGGAAGGCGCGGCGGTGCTGGGGCTGCGCCGCGCAGGCAGGCGGCCGGGCGAGAGACGTACTTGCCGAGCTCCTCGTAGAGCTGGTATTCGTCGGTGAAGCGGGTGCATGTTGCCGGGGTGGCCATGTTCGGACTGCGGGAGACGGCAAGGCTCGGCCGGCACGTCGGCTGGCTCAGCAGCAGCAGCGCCACCGCCGCAGGAGGAGGCACATCGGACTGGGCGAGGCTCCGGCGGCGCTGGCGAAGGCAGACCAGCGCGCTCCTCCTTCCCGCCTCCGGCCGCTGCGGCTCCGGCTCTTCCTCCTCCTCTGCTGCCGCCGCCGCCGCCGCCGCTGCTCCTGCCGCCGGCGCGCCTCCCCGCCCGCTCCACTGCGCACAGTCCCGACCCCGACACAAAAAGGAGGCGGCGTCTGAAGGCAGCCCGGGCCGGCCGCCAGCACCGCGAGATCTCCGCGGCCAAGCATCCAAGGAGCCGCAGCCGCCGCCACCGAAGCCGCCTCCCTGAGGGCCCGCTTGAAGCGCCGCGTTTGGCGGGCGGAGCGGCGGAGGCTGCGCCTGCGTGACGGGCCGGGTGAGGCGGCCGCCGCGCGCTTTCCTGCCTGGGGAGGCGCCTCCCCGTCGGCCCGAGAGCGCCGCTTTCCTGCCCGTCGGACCCGGCGCCGGCGCCGCCGCCTGCAGCCGAGCCCGGAGCAGCAGCGCCTGGGGCAAGCGGGCCTTGGCTCGCCCTTTAGGCCGTCGGGGTCAGGAGGGAGCTGAGGCGGGGGGAGCGGGAGCCTTTCCAGCAGGTGCGTCTGGTGTCTGCAAACGCGGCGCTGCCCCTCCGCTTTCCGGCATGGCGGCGGGAAAGGCGCCGGCTGAGTCGCGCTTAGAGGGGGGATGTAGTTGCAAATCCAGCCCCGGCTGTGGCGAGGAGCAGCGGCTGGGCCCAGGGGCCGAGGAGAAGGCACCGGAGCGGCGCGGTGGCTGGGCTGCCTTCTGGCCCGCTGGATTCGGGTATTTCCTTCGCTTGAAGGCGTATGGCCTGGCCCTCGCCGAAATGCAAGCGGCTTTCCTCTTATCAGCAGAGGGGAAGCTGAAGAAGGCCTCTCTTTAGCTTTAAAGCTCTCCAGTCCACGGGCGGCTGCTGGGGAGGAGAATCAAACAGGGCAGAACAAGCGTTGTTCACCACGGTTTATTGGTTGCCAAGTTCTCCTGGGGTTTTCCTACCCTTTCCTGGGCTATTAAAATCACCTTGGCAAGGTCTGTACCGAATACCTGGCTGCAAACTAGTCGGCCGGAGTTTAGCCTAGCCTGTTGTGCAACCTCAGGCCACATTCTTGGAGCTAAGAGGATGTAGTAACAGGAGAGCTGCAAAATTGCTCTGTTATTCTTGCCTTTAGCAGCAATAACTGTCCTGTGACGTCTTTGCGAGCAGCCTGCAGGCTGTGAACTTCCCTTTTCCCCTTGGGGAAAGAATTCAGAAGTGCTAGTTATTTTTCCTGCTAATTATGGCATGTGTTGTGGGGTTTTTAAGGAGCTGTGAGAAAAAGATGTGTCTGAAAATTAGAGGATGTATGGCTTCAGTTGTGAGGTAGGAAACTTGTGCACTTCTAGTTGCTTACAGGTGCAACCACTAAATATTCTGACCTGCATGCTCTCAGTGCCCAAAGATTATTTTCATTCTTCATAGGCCCGTGTTGTGGATTAACTAAGTATTTCTGGGTTCTGATTTTAAGGTGAGTATCCTGAACTATGGAAGCCTTTGATCTTGAATACATAATATAGAATAATAAAATAAAGGCTCAAAGGGAAGGCACATTAGAAAGAACAAGATCTTTGGGCCTCTTCAATTCCCTTCCTGTTAAAAGTTTCTTAATAACATTTGCTCTTCCTATATCAATAAAGATGATTTTTCCAGAAAATATGTGAAGAGAGAGCTGTAATTAGTGATTTAACTATATTTTCATTTTGGATGTGTTTTTGTTTATATCATGTATGCTTAATCTTGGGTGACTAATTGGTTTTGTTACATTGCAGTTATATTGTAAATTATGCCAAGTTACAGAATTATTTTAGCCAGCTTATATATCTGCCAGAAGGGAAAACTGTAAGTATTTTAAATTAAAAAAAATAAAACATTTCCTAAACTTCTTTTTGGCTTGGAGTGATTGATTCATCCCGTGAAATGCAGTTTCTTTTAAGTTCCTTGACTTGCCTCTTTTTTTGTTTGCATTAGACATTAAAGAAGATATGTAAATAGACATAAAAACAAGACGGGAAAGGGGGATAAAAAGGCAACGTACAGATGAAATAAGGGGTTTTAAAATATCATGGAGGTACATTAGTTGCAAATCTATACTAAAAATAGATATACTAAAAATTTGTTCCACTTTAACAATGAATAACAACCATGTCAACACAGCCTTTAACATCTCATTGAATTCAATCTTTTTACATCATCATGTAGCTAGAAAGCATGATTATGATTAAATAGTATCTGTTGGGCACAGTTGTAATTTCTCAATCTATGGCAAGTTAATCTTTTCAGGAGGAAAGCTCTGGAGATTAAAGAACTGCTCTTCATCAGCAAAAATGCCAAAAATCAGGATTTATGAGTAGAAAATGCATAGCAATGGGGAAAAAAACCTACATGTTTAGATATTTGTATTAAGGGGCAAAGACTATTGATTGTCCAAAATGCAGTGTTATCTGCCAGTAACATACTGGAATCTTTCCCACATGCCCTGGTTTCAAATACATGCCTGTTACAATTCTGCCCAGGGTAGCAAGCAGTATATAAATGAAGATTAAGCTGAATTCAAGTAGCTTTGCTATCTTCATAGAAGGTACCAGTTGTGGCTGAAGAAATTCCTCTTATTTTTGTAAGTAACAAAACCTGAAAGATAAAAGAATAGAAAGAAAAAATAGCCAAGGGGGAAAAAAGAATATATAGGGAAAAAGAAAAAACAATGTAGCAAACAAAAAGTAAAGAAATATATATAATCATTTAAACAGTTCCTATGGAGCTATCTGTCTGGTGACTATTTATTATGCCTTGGATCTGAAGTTCCGACAGTTGTACATTTCCCTGTGGCTGTGTGGCTGCATTTCAGGTGCATTGGCAAAGAGGCTGCATTTACAGCTTTGGCAGTATCTTCCTGTCATGTGACTGCATTTTACAATGGATTTGCTGAAAACTGGTAGTTACTTCTCATGTTTGGCTCAACCGCTCTCATAGCAAGCTTTTGGTTTGCTGCATTCGCCTAACAACAAAGGTCATAAAATCAGGTCAGTCATGTGACCGACCCCCTTTATGACTATCATGACTTACGATCGTAATGGGCAGGCTCCAATATAGTTGTAAATCAAGGACTAACTATATAAAGAAGTGACTTACCCCCTCATCACAATAAGTAAAAACAATTTTAACAACTTATCAACTTCTCTTAGAATGTAACTACCACTATGTTCCATATCTCATCTCTTATCTATAGAACAGATCCTTAAAAACTTGTGGTTCAGTCCTGATCAGTAAAAGTCCATTAAGGGTTAAGTCTTATTTTAATATTGATTATATAAACTTACTTTACAGTCCTTTCTTTTTCTTTTAACAATCTTAATCTTGAATCATTTTCATTTTTTTCCTTTGCCCCAGTTCACAGAATAGGTTTCCAAATTCCAATATAAGAGTTATCCAAATTGCTCTTTTAGTTTGCCGTTGTATACACCCCTTTTAATTATTAAGACATCAGCCAATTTTATTTGTATATCCATGTAATGTCTTTTTTCATATCACTCTTACAGCTTGCCATTTTTAAATCCACTTTCAGATCAGATGCTACAGGGATTCCAAAAAGCATCAGAGTGACCAGCACTAAACACTCAATAGAGCAGCAGCTGTCTCTAGATTAGACTGGAGCCATGTTTTCCCCATTGCGTTTCCTGGCTTCTTATCTAGCAGAAGTCTCCAAACTTGGCATACATGGCTGGAGAATTCTGGGAGTTGAAGTCCACAAGTCTTAAAGTTGCCAAATTTGGGGACCCTTGTTATATAGTGCAGAATGCATTAGTGTCAAAATTCCACAAAGTATTTTCTCCAACCAACAGGATTTTTTCTTTTTAAACAAATTTTATTCAATTTTTCACATTTAAAAAAAAGCTCTCTTTAGTGGAGAACATATTTCCGGGTCATCACATTTACATACAAATATGACAACAGTTATATATTCATATATGCATACAATTCTATTATTACCTTTTCCATTCCAAATTTTCAATAAGGAGAGAAACAAATAAATTAATCCTAGTCTCTTACATTAATCTCAATCAAACATCTTTTCGTTTCATTTCAATTATTTCAAATATAATCCTTTAATATTTATTTTAAAAATAAAAATAAACAATATATGTTTGCCTAATAATAATAATAATAAAGTTACCAATGTCTCTCCTTCCTTTTAATAGTCTAAATTAACTTATTAATTTAAGTAGTTCTTTAATCTGTCATATTCCCTTTCCATCACACATTCTTTTTATAGATTCTAGATTAATACAAGTTTTAACACAAAAGAAAAAGAAACAAGTATAGGTTTCTTCCCCCCTTTTACTGCTTTGAGTGTGACACCTCAGTGGTTAAAATATACCTTTATTCCCTCATCTTGATTCCCAATAAACCCTTATTTTTAAAAAGTTACAATAATAATCATTACATCTTTTCATTTGGATTCCGCAGCATATTTTCCCCCCCTTAATTTTATTTCTAATTTCAGAAAAGTAAAAGGGAAAAAATTGACTATTCAATTTCTGGTCACTGATATTGACCTCATTTTTAAACATCTTCACATTCATTTCAATTATTACAATTTCTTCAATAAACCTTAACTTTTAAGAATAAAAAATAAAAATGTATATTCATCTAATAAGAGTTATCAGTATCTATCCCTCTTTTAATAACTGATATTACCCTATTTTCTAAATATTTTTAATTACAGATATATTCTTGTTACCCCTTGTCACCCTGCAGAATCTCCTTTTTAATTCATCAACCATTATCTCTGAAAAAACTATTTCTTTTCATCATTTTACTATTTCCGTATTTCTTTATTTCATGCACCTGTTTCTTACTGCTTCTCCTCCCCCTCTTTTCCCCATATCTTTTCTCCTTCCAGTTTATATCCCTCTCTTTCTTGATATCTTCCTTTCCCCTTTTCTGCTGGATCTTTCTGTGTCTCCCAATTTCACAGGTATTCCCCTTTTTGATTATCTTCTTAAATCTCAGCTTTTTAGCCTTCCTTCTTTCCCCACGTCTTTGTAGTGTTCTTTGTGTTAATTGTCTATTTAAGATGTCTTATCCTTGAA